GAAAACAAAGCAAGGAATAGAATTTGGTTGTTCTTTTTTATTTTTTGGTGTAGCTGTGGCTTGGGAAACAATATAATTGGGAGTTATTGAACCCATTGGGGAATTGTATACAAAAATCCATCAGGGCCAGCTAACGCTTCCCAACAAAAGATCTCCCCCAGGCAGGAAGCATCCAAGCTTTGAAGCTGCAAGGCTAATCAAGGTGGCCATTTGCAACATTTACACTTGCCTCAAGCAGACAAGACTTCTTTCCCCTACCCTGGACATTCTAAAGACATATAAACCTCACTTGCCTAGTTTCCAACAGACCTCACAACCTCTGAGGATGCCTGCCATAGATGTGGGCCAAACGTCAGGAGAGAATGCTTCTGGAACATGGCCATACAGCCCAACATTATTTATTTATTTATGTATGTGTCTATTTATTTCTATCCCGCTTTATCTCTTCATACAGAGACTCAAAGTGGTTCACAATAAAAAAATTACAACTTAAAATATAGAAATATGTGATAATGAAACAGTATATTATTTTTTAATCAGTAGTAATCAGTAGATTATCAGTAGTAATTATATTTAATATATTAGTATTAGTCCCTTTTGGGAGGTAGGGTGGAATAGAAACATATTATTATTATTATTGCTATATTTCAGTATTATTTTATATATTATTATATTGTATTAGTGTTATATGATATTTCTTTATAATAATACATGTATATAAAGTATATTATTAGCGTAGCACAATATTATTATATTTTATTATATTATTATAATATAATATAATAATATGATATTATATATAGCATTATACATTATAATATATTATATAATAATAATCTTATATAATAATATTATATATTATTATTAGTTGTAGTATATATTACCATGCGGAGCCATCGGTGACGCAGTGGTTTAAAGCGCTGAGCTGCTGACCTTGTTGACCGAAAGGTTGCAGGTTCGAATCCGGGGAGTGGCATGAGCTTCTGCTATCAGCCCCAGCTTCTGCCAACCTAGCAGTTCGAAAACTTGCAAATGTGAGTAGATCAATAGGTACAGCTCTGGCGGGAAGGTAACAGCGCTCCATGAAGTCATGCTGGCCACATGACCTTGGAGGTGTCTACGGACAATGCCGGCTCTTCGGCTTAGAAATGGAGATGAGCACCACCCCCCAGAGTCAGACACGACTGGACTTATTGTCAAGGGAATGCCTTTACCTATATATTACTATACTGTACAATACCACTATACTGCAATATTAGTAGTAACATTACATGTAATATATAATATACAATTATATTTTATTATATTGAACTATATTGTTATAATACTACGTAATAATAAACATTACATTAGCAGTGCAGGACACGACTGGACTTAATGTCAGGCGAAAACTTTTACCTTTACCTATATATTACTACATTGTAATATACCACTATACTGCAATATTATTAGTAATATTACATGTAATATATAATATACAATTCTATTTTATTATATTGAACTATATTATTATAATACCACGTAATAATAAACGTTACATTAGCAGTGCAGGTCACGACTGGACTTAATGTCAGCGGAAAACCTTTACTTTTACCTATATATTACTACATTGTACAATACCACTATACTGCAATATTATTAGTAACATTACATGTAATATATAATATACAATTACATTTTATTATATTGAACTATATTATTATAATACCACGTAATAATAAACGTTACATTAGCAGTGCCTGGAGCAATCTTTTGTTGAGAGGTGATTAGATGTCCTTGTTTGCAATATTGTTAGTAATATTACATGTAATATGTAATATACAATTACATTTTATTATATTGAACTATATTATTATAATACCACGTAACAATAAACCTTACATTAGCAGTGCAATCTGGAAACCCTTCCACCCCCATTAATCTTCATATTATTATTAAAAAAGAAAGAAAAAACCTCCCTGCTGGGAACAAAAGAAAGGATAAACGGAACCCGGAAGTTTGAAATCAAGAAAGTAAGAGTGCTCTATACTATGTATTTTGTATAGTCTACATTCCTCCTCCGGAAGGCGCCTCCTCGAGGGTTCCCTTTCTGCTCCTGAGGCGGAAGAGGGGAAGGCGGGACTTCCTGCGAGGTCTACTTCCTCCTTCCGGTTGGCGGGTGAGTGAGGCTGAGGGTGGGTGGGTGGGAGAGGGGCGTTGAGGCCTTTGCTCTGCTGAGACGCTGAGGAGGAAGGGAGACTTGGGCGCACAATGGCCTTTCTCCTGCGGCTGTGGCTCCCTGCTTCCCTTCCCTTTTCCCTCCAGACTCTCGCTTCTCCTCCTTCCACGATGCAGCTCTTCGACAGGAAGTCTTTGGAAAACCCTGCCCAGGGTGACCGCCATTCCTTTGTCAGGGAAACCCGGAAACAGTCTCTAATGAAGCAGCAAGAAAAGACACAAAAGCCTTGGGTGGTTTCTCATCATTGGAGAGAAACCACACATGGCTGTCAGTTGTAAATAGGTCATTGATTATAGTGGGCAGTTGGTAGGCACTTTCAGACTAAGAGATTCACTCCAAGCAAGGGATCATGGATAGCCCAATACAAGCATGGGCAAACTTAGGCCCTCCGGGTGTTTTGGACTTCAACTCCCACCATTCCTAACAGCCTCAGGCCCCTTCCTTTTCCCCCTCAGCCGCTTAAGCGGCTGAGGGGGAAAAGGAAAGGGCCTGAGGCTGTTAGGAATGGTGGGAGTTGAAGTCCAAAACACCCGGAGGGTCCAAGTTTGACCCCTGACTGATCTAATCCAACCCCTCACCAATCAAGCAAAACACAATCAAGGCACCCCTGACAGAAGGCCATCAACCCTCTGTTCAAAAGCTTCCAAGGAAGGAGCTTCCACCACACTCCCAGACAGATAATTCCACTGTTGAATAATAATTAATATTTATTTATTTATTTATTTACAGCTTTTATATTCCGCCCTTCTTACCCCGCAGAGGACTCAGGGCGGATTACAGTGTACACATATATGGCAAACATTCAATGCCAATTTTGACATACAACATATACAGACATACACAGAGGCTATTTAACTTTTTCTGGCTGCCAGGGGAGCTGTCGCTTTCATCATCCATCTGCGATGCTGATGAAGCACTTCCGCATTCCCCGCATGCTTCCCTGCTGGAATGCTTTGCTGGAGTCTTCTTTATGGCCTCCTAAATCAGTTAATTTAGCCTCCCCACACTTTAAGGTGGTACCTAATTTTCCTACTTGGCAGATGCAACTGTCTTTCGGGTTGCAAAGGCTGACAACAGGCTACACACAATTGGTTGGAAACCCACTCCAACCCGGGCTGGCTTCGAACTCATGACCTTTCGGTCAGAGTGATCTTAATGCAGCTGACACTCAGCCAGCTGCGCCACTATCCCAGAGCAGGGAAGGCAGTGATCCGTTGTTCATTTGTTCAGTCATCTCTGACTTTTCGTGACCTCATGGACCAGCCCACGCCAGAGCTCCCTGTCAGCCGTCACCACCCCCAGTTCCTTCAAGGTCAAGCCAGTCACTTCAAGGATACCATCCATCAATTCATCTTAATAAATAATAATAATAATAATAATACTTTATTTATACCCTGCCACCATCTCCCCAAAGGGGACTCAGGGCGGCTTACATGAGGCCAAGCTGAACAGTACATTACAACAAAATAAAACCAAAATAACAAAACAAATGTCACAAATAGATAAAAACATAAGAATACAATAAAACAATACAAAATAGTACAATGCAGAATCAGTCCCAAAAGGGCGGGCCACATGTGTGAGATAAAATGATATAATTCAGGATGAGATAGGGATGGCCCCTTTTCCGTCCATTTTCCCCAGCATCATTGTCTTCTCTAAGCTTTCCTGTCTTATCATGATGTAGCCAAATACTTCATCTTTGCCTCTACTATCTTTCCCTCCAATGAGCAGTTGGGCTGTATTTCCTGAAATATGGACTGGTTGAATCTTCTTGCAGTCCAAGGCACTCTCAAAATTTTCCTCCCAACACCACAGTTCAAAAGCATCTATTTTCTTTCACTCAGTCTTCTTTATGGTCCAGCTCTCACATCCTTGCTATTCACAGGACTATTGGCAAGACATCCTAAAAATATGAAAACTCGAGGCATTTTAGTAGGCACAATGTATAGAAATTAGAGTTAGAGTATATCAGGTCTCACAGAAGACTGTATGATGTAATCACCAGCCTCTGAAGTTAATATCTTAGGTTTCATTAGGAGAGTAGAACAGTTTCAAAATATAACTTTATTTTTATACCGTGCCTCCATTTCCCCGAAGGGTCTTGGGGTGGCTTACATGGGGACCAAGTCAAACAGAACAGTTAAAACATAACACATTAAAATGCATAGCAACAAAAGTAATATAACAAAATAAAAAACAACATTAAACAGTGTATAAAACATCAAAACCAACAACCAATAGCAAAGTTCAGTGTATAGTCGTGGTGCCACAGCATTAAAGGATAGAGCTAATGAGTAAAGTGCAAATATCATATAGCAGCAATGAGAATAAGAATGATATACCATTAAGGATTTGGATATAACAATCGTAAAGTGCTTGCAGACAAGATTTTAGGATCCTAACTGGGGCCAGCTGTCAAGGGAATTGCCTAGCTAAAAGCACAACGGAACATCCATGTCTTTAAATCCTTGCGGAAGGTGGACAGGGAGCGTGCTAGCCTGATCTCCTTAGGGAGGAAGTTCCAGAGCTGGGGAGCCACGACTGAGAAGGCCCTTTCTCTCGCCCCACCAGACGAGCCTGGGACAGAGGTAGAAACAAGAGAAGACCTCTTACAGTCAGGAAGTTCTTTCTAATGTTTGGGTGGATTCTCCTTTCCTTTAATAGCAGAAAATAAATCTGCTCCCTCTTCTTTAGGACACCCTTTCATATATTTATAGATGGCTATTGTGTCTCCTCTCTACCTTCTCTTCTGCAGGCTAAACCTATCCAGTTCTTTAAGACACTCCTCATAGGGAATTATGGTCTCCAGATCTTTGATCATTTGAGTCACCCTCTGGACGCCTTCCAGAATACCAGTATATTCCTTAGAAGTTTCCTGCTTAAGGGCTTACCCTGACCAGGCCTGACCTTGCTCAGCCTGTGAGGTATAATAAGTTCAGTGCCTGAGGTGAGCAATGACACAGGAATGGAGGTCATAAACTCAAAGCAAATCCCTTCATTTTCTTCATACAGCATAATACTTCTGTTTCTTTGGCGTTTGCATGCCCCATGGATGGCTGATAGAGGGACAATATAAACAAACCTGATGGTTCAATATAAACAAACTTTGTTTCATACACAAAACTGTTAAAGCAGGCATGGGCAAACTTGGGCCCTCCAGGGGTTTTGGACTTCAACTCGTACAGTTCCTAACAGCTGGAACGCTGTTAGGAATTGTGGGAGTTGGCGTCCAAAACACCTGGAGCGTCCAAGTTTACCATTAGCCGCCTCGCCTGATGGCATAATTACCAGGTTTTGTTTTGTACTTGGGACTATAACTGTCCCCTTCTGCTTTGCCATGTTTATAAAAGACAAGGGAAATCCACTCATCAGCCATCCTGTAAGTAGGGCAAGGGCCTTCAACATATTTTCTCTAGGCAACTATATTCAAGGTTTTATTTCAATTATTTGTTTTACAGACCATGTCTTAATTTAAATATTAGTTGGCATCCTGTTGGTGAATTACTGTAGCATAAAGTGGATATACTCAATTTTGTGGCTATAGCTTAGATCAGAATTTTGCTCAATGACCCAGGGCCCTTCCACACAGCCATATAACCCAGAATATCAAGGCAGAAAATCCTTCAATATCTGCTTTGAACTGGTTATCTGAGTTCACACTGCCATATATTCCAATTCAAAGCAGATCATGTGGGATTTTATTCAGCTGCGTGGAAGGGGCCCCGGTGACAAAAATCCTCTCCTTCACTTTCTAAGCAGTGCAGCCCATGGCGATTTGTGTGTTATGGGATCAGCAGTGATATCCAACTGCGTAACTCGCAACTACTCTGTCTACTCTCTGAAAACATGGAAATGGCAGTATTGTGGATAGGACTGTGATGCTTTTAATGTGAGTTTTCAGGGATAGTATTAGATATAATTCACAGCCTTGGCTATGTTTCTTGCATCAGCCTCAGTGCATGTGATTCTCTATTTTCATCTGTACGCTTGGCTTTCAAGGTATTCTTTTTGGCAACTTTGTAATATGAAACTCTTTATCATAGCAGTGTATATAAATGTGTTAGTACTTCTGCTGCATAAAAACTCCCCATGTTCCCTTCTAATAACATTTGCGAGTAGGATGAGAGAGAAATCCCCATGCCACTTCCACACTTTTCATATTTTGTTTCATGCTGAGATCCTGTTGGTGCTTTATGCCACTGCAACGGTCAGTTAGATTGTGTATTATGACAAAAGTGTGGAAACAAAGGCATCACTTTGAGGTCAGGAAGGTGCCCTGCTGCTGTGCCTATGGCCAATTGACTCTTTTTACCAGTATCTCCCAGACCACGATAGATATGGATTAACAACCAATGAGATCTTAGGTTGACATTTCAAGTAGACTAATGTAGCTGCACCTTAAACACAAGAGCATCTTGCTTGATACCTTATCTGAATTGTTGTGCAGTGATTTACAATCTTAATTCTCAATATTGTTGCTTTACATTTTCAAGGTTATCTCTTCTTCCTCTTTATGACAACGGTGCCAAGTCCTGTTCTACATCATTAAACTGGAGCTTCTTAGCCCCTTGGGTGAGTGTGGAATCATCTGTTATCTTTAATTGGATATTATCTAAATGTCCAGTGGAAGGACTTGAGATGGTACCATGGGCCTGGCAGCAGAAGAGGAAACTGAATTAAACATTGTGATTGTCTGCATGTGCCAAAGGAGGTGATAGGGGGAAGGAAAATTCAAGTGAATTTCATTAAAGGGTATCTTACAGAAGAATGGTGTGTGTGTGTGTGTGTGTGGTGGAGGAGGTTTAAATTCAAAGATGATACAGTTTCAGACTAAAAATTCTCTTCTCCCTCCTGTAGTTTAAAATAACAGTGGTATAACAATGTTTTCATTTTACCCTGGCTAATGTAACCAGCATTATGAAGAAGTGTGAAATTGCGTACTTAGTGAAGTTTTTGTGAAGAAAAACTAAAACCTTTTCTGTGACCTCTGTGGAAGAAGAATTTCAGGCACTCAGGCCCTGTGACTGTTTTCATCTGCAGGGTGCATAGTAAAGCATTTCTGTGTGCAGTGGAAATGGATCCGTTGGCAAATTTTAAACTTAGTAGGAGCAGACTTTTTCTTGAACTTCTTTTTTTGGTACTAAATTGATCACCACAGGGCTGAAGCAATTCTTTTGTGTCTCAAAAGAACACTGTCTGTTTAGGATGGTGTGCTGAAGGGCCATCATCCATCCATTGCCTCACAACATGCTATACTGTCAGTTACTATAACTAGAATTAGATTGCCTTGGAAAACTTAGAAACCCCAAAAGTCACTAAAATATCTCCCTCTAGAATCTGTGATGTGCATTTATTAGAGCTGTCACCAGACTTAAATTACTTAGTTGAATAGGTAAATGATTAAACTTGCAAATGATGGTGTGGAGGACAGGGAATTCAGTTGGAACTAGCCTTTTTGTTCCACTAGTGGGAACAGTGCTGGAGCAGATTTTCTCTATATACTTTCACTGGAGATGAGAGAGAGAGAGTAATCTTCTCTGACCACAATCCCAGCCACTCCTTGGGGAGATAAGGGCTCCATTGGGAGAAGGGGCATTCATGAAGAACACTTTCCTCTACCAGCAGAATTTCCTTGCTGATCAGAATCCTTCTGTGAAAGCAGGCAGGGGTTGCTTTCTGCCCATATTAAGCTTATGCTGGAGCCAATCTTATGACAAAGAAAAATGTCTGCTTTGCATGTATCATCCTAAGAGAAATGTTTCGTGTTCCTCTTAGACAAGAGCCCTCCCATTTAAAGGGACTTTTGTCACCTGAAGTTCCACACATTGATTGTTCTCTGGTGAGCAGTAAATTCAGAATATTTCATTGTTTATACTGGAAGTGGATGCTTAATCAACTAAATGTCCTGGTCCTGGTAACAAGATGCAAAGTTAAATGTCCTATATACCCAAGTTCACAAGTCCAAGCAGTTATACTTCCCTGCCGTCATTCCTCAATAGGTAATTGTTTGAGTAGTTTCTTATTAAACATCTCATATTAGTTATCCTTCTTCTTTCTTATGGAGGATTTCCCTCCTTAGGTAGCAGAAAAGATGCTTGACAATATCAAAGGCTGGGCTGAATATATTGTGGAATGGGCTGCAAAGGATCCATATGGATTTCTCACAACGGTGATCCTGGCTCTTACGCCCCTCTTCTTAGCAAGTGCAGTACTGTCATGGAAACTGGCAAAAATGATAGAAGCCAGAGAGAAAGAACAAAAGAAGAAACAAAAACGCCAGGAAAATATTGCGAAAGCTAAACGAACAAAGAAGGACTGAAATGCCAACCCAACTGGACAGATCTTTTCTTAACCAAGAATTCTTATGTTTGTATATTTTTGTGTTGTAATCTTTCTAGGACATGGATATGAGCAAATCTGATAAATCCTGAGGTAATTTGTTCTTTTTATTTTGTTATTAAAGTCTTGTCATTAATTTTAATAGCTTTTGAGAAGTGTTGTCCTGAGATTTAATTTCTAATTTGGAATGTATTTGTAAACAAGATATCAGTAACACTATATGTATGTAATGTGTTTATAAAGTATGAACTATCATTTTGTTGACTGATTAAATAACTAGCTCCTTACAATTTTATAGACTGAAGAAGAAATATTTTCTTTTTTCTCTGTTTTTAAAAAATCCTGTAGATTTATGAGCTAATTGCAGCCTATTTCAAATTATTTCTATATTGGAGAAAATCCTTATTTCATCCTAATAGTACTTTTTAGATATATTCGGAAATAATATGAAATATGACTGTTTATGCATTCTGCATGAAACCAATAATAGGGAGCAATAGCTTTGATCCTAGAAGTGCTGATAATCATGTGAACAAATAGGATTAGGTGTGTTTTTTTTGTGAATTACTATTTCTATGAACAGGTTAATAATGTACTAGATCATTATAACAGCACTAATGCAAAAATGTATCTAAAGGGTCTTCCTTTAAAGGATAATTTCTAAAATGAATGGCTGTTATGAATGAATATTCTCTCCAGATGTGAAAATGTATTGTGCATTCTGTGATAAACATGCCAAGGGGACCTTTTAACATTGGAAGTACTGTATCTGATCAGCTTTACCCTAGTAACTCTTTATCCGTCCAGTTTTTAAGAAAAATTATTTAATACTCAAATTAAAAATATACACAATAACCACTCTCTGGGGAATAACTGGTCTATAAGATATTTCTAACCACAATTCTGTATGTAGGGTGGTTAACATGTAAAATAATTATGGAGGTAGAAGAATAAAGTCCTACAGTAGTTTGTTTCTGGGCAAAGATGCCAAGCAATGGCTAGTCTTTATACTGGATCACAGTGAAATACTGCTCCCAAATACTTCCTATTCCTTCTGCAGTATGTTGTCATTTGGAGATGCAGTGCAGGCAAACAAACAAAATGTGAGGAGGAGGGAGTGGTCTGTAGCCCACAGGGGAGGAATTGACCCCACACAGTGGTCTACAACTGAACCAGATTCTCTGGCAAGGTGATTTCACAGTGTAAGATGGCAACAATAAGAAGAGGATTTTTATAGTATTTTGAAACCACAGGAGGAGAAAGGTGTGTTCCTCAAAGTGAAACTGAACTACAAATTCCAGCGTACTTCATCCTTGGGTACAACGGCTAGAAATTAGGCAGTTCAACTGTGATTAGCAGGCAGATGGTTAATTAGCCTATGGTGGGTGAATCCAGGAATGGAAGGCAAAGCAAGTGGGAGGAAGAGTATTCATATGGGTTTGGCATGTTTGTTGTATCCCTTCAAGAAGTTTCCAATCTATTCTGGGTTTCTACTGCTATAAATTGATTCTGGGTTTCCACTGCTGTAAAGGGATTCAAACCCATTGTCTCCAGAATTGTAGTCCAATGTTCAAACCATTACACCACACTGGCTTTCCTTGTGTTTTAACATGGATTGCCTCAATACTATTTAATGATAAAGTGAACACTCAATGAGTAACTTTTCACCATTCAAGTATTTTTATTAACTTTTGAAGCATTACTTTTTGACCTGAATCAGATCCCATCTAATCTTGGAAGCTAAGCAGGGTCAACCCTGGTTAGTACATGGATGAGAGACCACCACTGAATACCAGATGAGACAGGCTAAATGTCAGAGGAAGGAACTGGCATAACCACGTCTGAGTATTCCTTGTCTAAGAAATCACTGACATTTGTGGGGTTGCCATAAGTCAACAGAGAACTTGAAGGCACATTCATACACACATAATATAGATGCTTGCTTCATATGGAACAAAGTATAGCCTCCCAGATAACATTAAGTACAATAGCATCAGACACAGCAGCCTGATTACTAGTTCTAGAGACCACATCACTCTCCCTTCTGGACTTGGAAAGGTATGGGATAATTCACTTGCTGATGAGAATGAGCTTTCATGGTAAATTTGCAGTCTATCTTGAAGTCCCTTGAAAGCACCACACAGTATCAGCTCCTTGTGAAGTGCAATGAGAGGAACCTAAGGAGGACTTTGCCCTTTTATTTTGTTGTCTTTCTATGACTTGGTTGAAAGACAATGGGAATCTAGCTTTCCTTCTAGTAGAGACACTCTTTTCCTCTTGATCCCTCAAGGATGAAAACTAACCAGAGTGTCTCATGAAAGCTGAAAACAGGAAATTGTGGTCACTTTAAACAATGGTTTGAGAACCAATGTACTTGAAACTACTTCTGCATGTTAAATTTGAAGGATGTAATTGCCTTCAAAGACAATACATTTTACTCACACTGTGATACTTCTAATTAAACCGATTGTTTAATGAAAGGCAGGGATTCTTAGAGTCACCTTTTAAACTAACAAGCTATAAGTATGCATAGATGTGACAATGCTATACTCACTATAGCATTATTTATAAACCAAGTACTACAGATTCCATTTCCTGTGAATTACAAGCCAGTTGTAAATTCAGTTAGTACAGTCATTCAATGTATGAAAGAACTAATTTACTCATGGCTGAACAATTATAATTATATTCAGTGCTTCTTTTTATATTCACCGTTGTACTTTATAATTATATCACCTGGAGTCCCTTTGGCCATTACATGTTTGGGACTTCATCTGTCATCATCTGCAGATAATATGGCCAACGGTATAGTATTATGGCAGCTGTAGTTCAAAACATGTGGAAGCCAGAGAGATTCTCCAGCCCTGATCATTATCATACCATTATCATACCAACTCCTTCCAAAGTTGAAGTTACACAAATTATCTATGAATTATACAACATGAGCAGTTAATAAATCCTTACATCTTAATTATAAGATTTTTTCCTCCATTTACTCAAACAATTCTTCAAGTAATGCAAAAGGATAGACATGCATCAGACAGTCATTTCTTATTATTTGCCTATCTCCTGATATTTCTAACTTCTTATTTGTTACGGCCACTGTCCTTGGGAGGCATCCAAGATCCAGGCTGAAATATATTTGCTGTACTGACTGGCTCTTCGGAAGGTTCGTTCTTTCCAAAGTGAGGGGAGGATGCATGGCCTTTAATCTGAGTTTGACGTGGTTCTGCCACAAGTCCCTCTTTGTATTCTTTGGCCTGCAGGAGCCTCTCCTTTTCATAAACATCTTCAATCCTCCTTTTCATCTCTTCTTGATACTTCTGTGCCCTCAGAATTTCCTGTGGAAAAAAGGAGAGGAACAGGTGAACACTATTGAAAATAAACCATCAAATCAAAACAAAAGTCAGTTTTTCATCAAGGGTTAGAATCTATTTGCTCAGCTACTACTTTGCATTGGATGTGGAGTTTGGTACATGCAATTAGACTGGTAGAAAGAGAATTGTCTGAGCCTCATTTCCCAAAGTAGGCCCTACCCATCAAATGGTATATGCAGTGGTTCTCAACCTGTGGGACCTCAGATGTTTTGGCCTTCACCTCCCAGGAATCCTAAAAGCTGGTAAACTGGTTGGGATTATTGGAGTTGTAGAGCAAAACACTTGAAGAAGCGCATGTTGAAAACTACTGGTATATGGATGGTCAAGAAATGGAAACTGGCTGAATTGACTGAGTTGGCTATGGTGCTTCACCTCCTTTGTCCCACAACTTGTCCTATTCAACTTGACTCCACATAGTGTTTCTGAGATATTGTCATGATAGACGGGATACCCTGCTTTCTCAATATAAATGCTGAAATCTCTATCTAACCCATTTAGACTGCATCCAAAACAGTACAAGGAGGAGCTGGTTTTTCACAGATCCAAAGTGGTGTATGGGAAACTTGCATCACTCCTCATTCTACAGATAAACCAAACTGGGAAACTATCATCAGGGAATCTGACACAACACATTATTTTAACAGTATCTTTCAATGCCTGTCTTGTGCCTGTACACTAATTAAAATGCTTTTTCAAATTAATACACCCAATAATTGATCAGAAACCTTAACAAATGAAACACTTCAGAATGTGCAAGGACATTTTATAATGATCTAAACAACACTTTCAATTTGCAAAATCAAATCCACTATCTTGCATCTGCAAGAGGAGATTGAGATAGTATATTGAGGCAATAATGAGTTCATAGCCACATTAACATTTGAACAGGGAACTTACTGGACCATGGTAAATGATGAATAGACAAACTAGCATTTTTGAACTAGTCACCAGCTCTGCATACTGCAACCTGTTAGGTTACTAATATCTTCTTTAGAAAGAAAGATTTCGCTTATTGTATTGTCAAAGGCTTTCATGACCGGAATCACTGGGTCACTGTGAGTTTTCCAGGCTGTATGGCCACGTTCCAGAAGGATTCTCTCTTGATATTTTGCCCATATCTATAGCAGGCAACCTCATAGGTTGTGAAGTCTGTTGGGAACTAGACAAGTGAGGTTTATATATCTGTGGAATGTTTATTGTCTTCTTTTTGGTGACTCCAGGTGAAAAACTGAGGACACTGTTACCAAGTGCACACAAGGTAACAACAACAACAAACAAAACAAACCCTAACACAATGGATTGATGTATAAACAAACATTACTGAATTGTTCTATGATTGGTAGAGTGGTGCTGATTTCCCCTATCTCACTTTATTGTCCAAAATGCCTCAATAAAGAAACTGAGGGATGTAAGAGGTTGCCCAAAGAATGATAATTTTACAAGTGATACAATGTGGAAAAAGCACACTGACCATGGATAATCAAGTGACTGTTTGCTGAATGCAAGCTCAAAGAGAAACTAAATTCCCATATCAAAACGAAATTGAGATTGCAGGGTAATGAATCTCCATTATCAAAATGTAATAAACCTACTGTGCCTCTAATGCTAGTTGAAAACAATTCAACTGACTTCAATTAACTCTCTAATTTTTCTAGTGTACAAAGGTCAGGCCCAAAAGGAATACAGATATGTGCTGAAGCCCCTCCTCTTCAGGATTAAGACTCTAGGGAAAAGATGACATTGACCAAATATTTATAATAGCGGGGTAGTGCATATGCATAGGAACAAGCTCTCCAATCAAGTTGCACTACATTTTCTCTCTGCATTTATAAAATTATGCTCCAAATGAGACTTCTCTTTTTACTGGAAGGGAGAAATGATCTCAAGGCTAATGGGAAAAGTTTGCTTGTAGGTGGCCTTCCTCTGAGCAAGCTTTCCTAAACAAGGATAGGATCTGGATCGCACAAATGCTCAATTAACTAAAAATTCATCTTGATCTATTGGACCAGAATCTGAGATCAACCTCATTCATTAATATCCTTCAAATGCACATACTTCAAGTGTGCTCCAAGAAGTATACCCAATGTGAGGAATAAGAAGGGTTGAAAACTGGCTACTTCAAAATGCATTACAGTAAATGCAATCGGAGGAGAACCCTACATTGTTGTACATTGTTCTCATTTAGTGGTAAACATGCTAGGGAGCAGACAATGGCTAGGTAGTACTGCAGTAAGGTGAGAGTATTCTCCAACGCAGTTCAATCAGTCACACTGTGAGAGAACTATGCCAAATAATTCCCCTAATTCTTTGACAATGAGTTGAGTTGCTATTTAGTGAGAGTGGTGGAAGAGGAGAAACTGTTCTCCAAATACACTTGTATCTGTATATTTCTTCTCTTTTGGATTGAGTGTGGATCTGCATTTTGATTGGAAAGTTATCTCCTCTTCGAATTCCAAAACCCTATGGAGACACCACACAGCTGCTCAATAGCTTCAGTATAAAATGTGTCCCCTTATGTGGATGCATAGTTATATGAACCTCAGTTCTATGTGCACACCATATGCCCACATGGGTAGACAAATATGCCAAGGCATACTTATGAGATCAATTTGCATACCTGATCTGCATTGTCTTAACACAGTGGTTCCTGACCTTTTTTTGATCAGGGACCACTCTGACCAGGGCTCAGCTCTAGTTTCTGATACTGAACATATGCCATCCAGTAGTTGTCATCTGCTCGCCCACAGAAAGCCATATTTAATAAGCCTCGGCATAAGAGGGTTTCGCGAGACCAATTGCTCTCGTTGCAACAGTGTAATAACGGTGAGGCTGCAGACCATATTTTAGTTCTTGCAGATTACAGGTGGTCCATGGACCACTAGTTGCGATTCTCTGGTCTAACACATTCCTAAGATGATATCTAAGCTCCCATCTAGCTTCTAAGAACTGTATCTTTAAAGTGGAAATGGGGAATAACGATGCATACTGGAAACTCCTTTTTAAAACAGCTTTCACATAAAATATACTAACGGCTTTTTAAAATCAAGAGCGAGCATTCCAATTTTGTGGGAATGAACTGACTAGAGGGAAAACAAAAACAATTCAATTTGCTACATGCCCTTCTGCATCATCATAGCAAATAGCATCACTCTGTCACAAGCCAATGGCATCAGAAATTCCTTTACAGACAAAGAAGACTGTATAGATCCCAACAGAAATTAAAAAGCTGATGCTTTCAGAGAACATTTATGACTTCCTTGTAAACGTTTTAAAAAGCTACTGGGAATTATCTGAACTTTAGCTCTATGTGTATAGAGGTTAACAACTACTTTTAGATATCTCTGGACAAAAACACTACAGCTTAAACACTAATTGAAAGTGGCTTTTAAAGAAGGAAGTTTTTAAGATCAAGTCAGGGGATGCTGTAGTTTTTACTTAGTTTTAAGGACTTTAACTGTTTTTAATACAATTAGTATTTAATTCTATTTCAATGTTTGTATATCTTAGGTTTAAAATTGCATTGCTTTGATTTTATTGTAAGCTGCTTTGAGTCTCTTTTATAGATAGAGGTGTCATACTTGTGGCCCTCCGGATGTTTGGGTCTCCCAACTCCCAGAAGCACAAGCCAGCTCACCCAATGGCCAGGAATTCTGGGAGCTAAAGTCCAAAACACCTGGAAAGCCACAACTTTGAGACCACTGACCGAAATGCATTCAAACTCATCTAATTCAGAAGCTGAGCAGGATTGGATCTGATTACTAACAGTTGCTGAGGGAAATGCCTATTGCTCTACTTCCAAAAGGCCTCAGCTCGGCCGTTCTGACAAAGCTTATGGTGAACAGGACAAGCAAGTTCTCTAATCTAGGGTGGCTCTTCTTGTGTTGTGCCCATATAAAAACATTGGAAGGTAACTTCTATCTGCTCTTCCAGGGCTAATTTTGTGACATAGTGATGAACTTATTAGAGAAGACCTAAAAATAAAAAAAACCAGATACAAGGGTGCAACATCTCTTTATCTGAGATAGCTAGAAAGCAGAAGGCAGGCATCCTCAAATTGCAGCCCTTCAGCTGTTTGGGCCTCTAACTCTCAGCATTCCTGACCACTGGACAAGCTGGCTAGGGCTTCTGGGAGTTGGAGACCCAAACAGTGGGAATGTTCCAGCTGGGGATGCCTGGAATAAGGCTTCATATACAGTAAAACTCTTCCAGTAGAGCTTGAGATTAAAGGAATAAGAAGAAATTAGAAAAGAAGAAAAAGACAGAAGGGCAAGACCAAAGCCTCTGAGGTCTTCTGTATCCATATTTACAGACCAAGCAGGTTAGTTTTCAGCATAATGCAAAAGGCCCAGTCAAAACACCAATTCAAAGGCTCATAGAGGAAATCTGTGCAGTTATATATTAACTGTGCAGTGCAATCCTTATGCAACTGAACACATACCCAAATGTGTTCTGCACAACTCAATTTCCACAATGGTGAACTTAAGGCAGATCTTCAGAACAAGATGAAAATGTCCATAGGAAAAACACAGGCAAGCCTAAGACACCCACAGGATTCTAGCATGCATATTACATCAAGGAATACTAGCAGAAACAATACAATTTAGTGTATTGTCGAAGGCTTTCATGGCTGGAATCACTGGGTTGTTGTAAGATTTTCCGGGCTATATGGCCATGTTTCAGAAGCATTCTCTCCTGACGTTTCACCTGCATCTATGGCAGACGTCCTCAGAGGTTGTGAGGTTTGTTGGAAACTAGGAAAATGGGGTTTATATATCTCTGGAATATCCAGGATGGGAGAAAGAACTCTTGCCTGTTCAAGGTAGGTGTGAATGATTCAATTGGCCACCTTAATTAGCACTGAATGGCCTAGCAGTTTCAAGGTGTGAATTCTTACTGCTTGGGAGAATCCTTTGTTGAGAGGTGATTAGGTGTCCCTGATTGTTTCTTGTTTGGAGTTCTCCTGT